CAAGAGGGGTGGAAACTCACTTGCAATTAGCTGTGCCTCCTGTCAGAGCCCACACTAATGGTGCTATGGATGCTAATTTTAGCTAAATGCTTTCTTTAAAATGCAATTTGCATTTGGTTTCCCCCCAAGGAACCCACAAATGCTTATGTTCTCCAGGGCTCTGCCTATAGGTTTCCCTCCTCACAGCTCACAGGGGATGACTGGTGTTAGGCCCAGCTGCAGGGCTTGGCCCTTTTCCTGCTCAGCTGGCATTGCACTTTGCAGCCCCTTGTTTCCCATCCTTGATGCCCAGATGGATGCAGTCCTCTACCACATTTAAGCTTTTTGCACTCAAATACCCTCCTTTTGCCTCTTTATTCTCCTCCTTCAGTAATCTGCATTGTGCTGGTATTAATCCCAGCCAGAGGACTGCTGTGCTGGAGACTGAGCACAAAGCCAAGGCTGGTGCCCTGAAGAGCTTAAAACCTCACTCTATTTTGGGGGCAAATTATGCAAAGCATTCACAGCATTGTTCAACGTGCTGGGGAATTTCTTGAGAAATTTGTATTAAGTTGAAAAATTGAACTGGACTCTTAAAAGCAGAAACGATAATCTTGCTGCTAACAGCAGCATTTACCAAGAGCAACTTGGATCATTTGACTGATTGCCTTGCTGTGTACCAAAGCCCAGCTCTGTCGTGGTTGAGACCCAAGGGGTGATATCCACAGCAATGTGCTGCTGTGCCTCTGGAACATCTTTATTAATGGCATACAGCAGAGCCCCTGCTGCTCCTGGCTCTTACCTCCAGATTTATGGCTCACTTCCACGGCCTTTCCCACTACTCTTAATATATTATAACAGCACTGTTCATACATGAGCTTTTCCTGTTAGGGAGACAGCAGCATGCTGGTAGAATTGCAGCAGATGAAGTCCCAGGGGAAGGCGTTGGTGGCAGGCACAGTTTATCTGCAATCAATTTTTCCAGCTGTATCCAGAATGAAGAAGTCATGCATAATTTAATATAATCTGATAACAATAATTTCATGAATCTGCACTAGTTAATAGCAAGTGATCCCTTCCAGTATGTGTTTTTTAGCCAATCTGATGGAATTTCTTTATTAGTAAGCTTCTATTAAATTTGACAAGGTGATAACAAAAGGCTACAGGAAAGTATTACGTTTTATTATAGTCTATAGTACTCTTCCATAAAGGTTAATATGGACTCACCATTCCTATTAATTAAATGGCAATACTTCTGCTGTGAATGGCCAAACCTCACAGCTCTGCCCTTTCAAGAACAATCCTTCACTTTATATTTATACTCCACTTTTATTCTATGGTTTTCCTTACACTTGCAGAAATTTAGCTGTTTCGTTTTTCCTCTCCAAGTACTACTGGATACATTATAGTAAAATACAAAATAAAATCGACTGATCAGGACAATTCTAAAGCTGTCAACATATTTTGTTCCCTAACTATACATCCAAATCATCTCCAAGGTATTGTAGTCGTCTCTTGGAGTTGATAAGCCATTTAATGTATTATTCTGGTGACAGAAAAGATGGCATTTGCTACAAGCATTTTTATGATTCAGTAGTTTTTATAGAGACTAGAAAACTAAGCAGCAGATTTACACTATAACAAAATAAAAGCTGAGATCTCATCTGCCTGATGAATGACTAAAGCAGCTTTCATCCACAGATTTTCAGCTGGTTCGCCTGAAGGTAGAGAACTTATTGTTCAGGACATTATAGCAGTACCTTGAGGCTATAATCAAATGGCGTGTGTTGAAGACTGTGTGCATACAGGGGGTAGAAATACTGCTAACTGTGGGGCAGTTTCCATCTAAGCCAGATGTGTTAAATGCAATAAACTTGAAAGAAAAAGGAGGCACAAGGTAAAGGGAAGTTCTATATGCTTGAACATGGACTGATGCACCAGAAATGCAGCTCTGCTCAGCCAGTTGGCTGCTTGCTCAGGGTGTCACAGCAGAGGCTTTTTTCATTTTCAAAAGGAAGTAAATGCAAGGACAAGGGCAGTGTAGAAGGGCCGCTACATACAAAAGATTTGGCATCAACAGACAGGCAGATAGAGTATTACTGGCTGCCTTACTCCTTAGCAGACATATTAGATAATTCCCTCCTCTGCCAAGCAGTGAGTCAGTGGTTGAAATGAGAGGAGGGCTATGGCCTCTTGACTTCCCTTCTCCACATCTGATCTGGGATTTCTCCAGTTGTCTTCCAGCAAGGGTCAGCTCCAGAGACCAACTTCTTTAGCAAATGCCTAAAGCATATTTGATGTGGGAGGGCAAGCAAGTCAGGCTTCACCTGTGCTTCTGAAAAAGAGGAAAGCGTTTATGGTATCTTCCACCAAGGGTTAACCAGGCTGTTCAGAGCTCACAAATGTCAGCTCCTCAAATAGCTGTGAGGGTGTGAAGCACCATCAGATCTGAGCCCATGGAGGACACAAAAAGTCCTCTGTGGCTGGTGGAAATCCTGGACAATCCCAGTGGCTGCATTTCTATGCATGGGCATTTGGGTGCTTTCCATATGACTTTTAAGCTGTGTGCAATGCCAGCTTCCAATCATTTGCCCTGTATTTGAACTTTACTTGTGGCCTCCCACTTGCTTAGCTGCAAACATGATTGTAACAAATCCATTTCAACCCCTCAGTTAATTTGTTTCTGAAGCCTTTCTCTTTCAGAGTGTGTAATTAAACTAAAAGAACCTGGAAAAGCCCCTTATGGTAAATAATTTACAAGTTCCTCCCTGGGGACGTTTTTTAATTGTGGCTCCTCTGGTCAGATCTTACTGAATACTCTGAGATTCCCTGCTGAGATCCTGAAATATAATTAACTTCTTCCTTTGCTCACAGTACTTTTCCTTAGACTATCCATATCTTATGCAGGGCAGGCAGATTTGTTTATAAACAAAGTTGAGCCTGATAGACACTTTGTCATGAGAATAGCAATAATGACATTCGCTGCAACAGACAGGGGCACATCCATTTGGGGAAAGATGATACTGTTTGGAAGCAATTTTTATAAATCCTACCCTGACAACCCAGCCCCGATACAAGAGAGCAGCCAGGCAGCCGTAGACTCCTCTCCTTCTTGGCAGCCTGCCTTGCTCCCCAAGTGCCATTTTATGCATAGCAAACGTAAATAATTCTGACGCACCTACCAACCCCCTAACCTTTGTGCTTCAGAAACACTGTTATATACCATCAAACTGACAGTGATTTCATGTTATGTGGCAAAAAGAAAAACCCAGAGCGACAGCAGCAAGCTTCAGGTGCCAAATGAAAGCTGTCACATTTATTTAGCTCTATGATTCTTGCGACAATATACATAAATATTGTTTTACTGTCCCTACCAGCCAAATGTTAAGGGCTATCTCCATCAGCCAGGGTCCTGTGGCCAATGAGGCTGTGATGATCTCCTTCTGATCCAGGAGTGGCTGGCAAGAAACACTGTGCCAGCATCTCTTGCTCCCAGTGATGCACTGTATTAAATAGCTCCCTATTTATTTCTCACTGCATTCTAATCAAACACGCACAAAAAAAAATTCAGCTTCAGAACCAACCATCACAGCTTATGGAATCACAGAATCATTTGAGTTGGAAAGGACCCTTAAAGGCCATCTGGTTCAACTGAGCAGGGACACCTACAGCTGATCAGGTGCTCAGAGCCCCATCCAGCCTGACCTGCAGTTTCTGCAGGGATGGGGCACCCAGCATCTTTCTGGGCAACCTGTGCCAGTGCCTCAGCACCCCTAGTGTAGAATTTTCTTTCTTATGTCTACTCTAAATCTCCCCTCTTTTAATTTGAAACCATTTCCACTTGATTCAAGCTTCTCCTCAGCTTGAATGTAACAGCAGGAGGTCATTAGCATCTAGTTATGTTCTTTTACGCTGACGTGGTCTCCTGATCTGTGCCAGAATTGGTGTAGCGTTCATGCAGTCATGCTTAGAGTCATACCACCAAAACCATGGAGCCATGTCTCAGCATCAGTGCTAAGCCTCCAGGGTTAGACCTTGAGGGAGGACACCAGTAAAAGCACACTGATTTTGGTGGGCTAAAAGGATGTAGCTGCTTGAATAGGTCTGGACTTAATACATGCATTTAAAACATTTAACAGAATTGGGATCCAGGTTTCTGCTGTGAAAAATGCTGGCATCAGCACAGCTTTGTTGATGTCCAAGGCAGGTAGAGCCATATGGCACAGAGCTCATCCTAATGTGATCAGTGAACTCTAACAGACCTGTTATGCACAAAACCTACCCCATCTTTTCTCTCTTGCTCTCCATATGCCAAGAGAAGTTCAGAAATGAAGAAGGGATTAAAGCACTGCCAGGACAGAAACTGAAAAAAACAACAAAACCAGTCCAATTCTCTCATCACATGTATTCCCCAAAGGTCTTGAACTGTAAGAGCCTGCCTGCCTCCTGTAAGGCAGTGCAGCTGACAGCACTGAAAAGCTGAGAGAAGCTGGAGGCTGCTCTGCTGCATGCACCAACACCGTCACCCCAACCCATGAACACCTCTCACTCTGCATAGTTTGCAGCACACCACGTGAGAAAATGCTTCTCTCATTTGGTGGGATGAGCTACTTTGATACAGAACCGGTAGACAGCCAAGTCTGATCACCATCATTTTACTAAACAGCCCACAGTGCAAACTGCTGTCAGCTCCATGTTCGGGTTGCAGCCTTTCTGTACACGTTGGTGTACACCTGGGAAACCCAGCAGGTCAATATTAAAGGTGGGCCAGGCTCTTTCACCCCACCATCACTCTCAAGGTATTGCACTCACAGCGCCTTTTGTTTGCACAGGGGCAAGTTAAAACCTCCATCCAACCCAATGGGATATTCTGAATGGCTTGTACAAAATTACATAGGTTGAAGTAACATTGAATATTATTTTACCAAAATAATTGAATGCACTGATCGCATCTGAGACAATGTGACAATCTTACATTGAGACAAAAGAAACAAACATATGCGAAAGTCATAAACACAAAGTTTTGTTATTAGCAGATACTCCTTTTATTGTGAGACCACTTTAAAGAGCCAAGCAAACAATCAGTGTTATTTGAATACAGAAAAATCAGCTCAGACTTTTTCAGCCCAGCTTGCTGTAGGTCTTCTCTGTAGCAGTAGGCAGTTCACTTGGAAACTGCAATAATAAAACTGTGCAGTATCATGTAGCTTGTTCCTCATAAGTATGATGAGAAGAAATGACTCCTAGTTAATAAAGAGTCGCATACTCTTATTTCTATTGGTTCTAGAATAAGAATTCACTACAGATATTTGTTAATTAGAAACAAATCAATGCAATTTGCACTACCATTACCACATTTACATTGTTGTATTTTGTTGTTGTTGTTCTTGCTGCTCAAAGACAAATAATATATTTTACTGCCTCCAGCATCATATATGGCTATTAGCAAAGTTCTGACTGATGGACATGAAGTCTTTGGTTGGTCACCTGAAGGCAGGATGGTATCAAGGCACTTCTAGCAGTCTTCATAAAGGACTTCATCTACTTGGACATCATTTTCTGTCACAGGTACAGATTCACAAATCTGTTCCCTAAATGCCAAGGCAATCGTGTAAGGCTTTCCACTGGGATGTTTCATACATCTTCCAAGATAGGTATCATAATATCCTTTCCCTCTTCCCAATCTGTTGCCTTTTTTGTCAAACCCTAGGCCTGGCATGAAGATAAGGTCAAGACCGCCTGTAGAAAAATAAAATACACGTTAATGGATGCAATGTGGATTTCCTGATGGCTGGACTACATCCAGATAATTTTATGCATAGCAAAAATGCTAGCTTTGTGTTTTGCAGAATGCTTCCCTTTCTTTGATCAGATGAAAAATACCTTGAATGCTAAGCCTGTGAATTTACATTTTCATCTTATCAATTGAATACTAGCTCAGCTGTAAAATAATCAGACCTTGAAAAGCTAGAAAGAAAAAAAATCTACCTTATAACAAATTTATTTTATCACTTTAACCTCACACTTGCAAATACAAACGATTACGACTATAAATCTAGACAGAGATTGAACTCAGAGAAATTAAATTCAGGAAGAATCAGAAAATCAAATGAACTTCAACATTTGCCACAAACATAGAAAAAGAATAAAGAAGGAGAGAAGAAAGATTATGCTCTCTCTCGCATAAGTGAGAACGAGCACCTTCTGGACACAGCTGTTAAAATGTCATGAACCTTTGAACATTCATCTTCCCAAAACCAAAGAGGCTTGAAGACAATATATTCTGAAAGTTCTTCTTTGCCAGGTATGCAAAGGGATGGAGTTGACACACTGAGCATCCATCCACCAGGCACAATCACAGCCACTCTGATGCTTCCCATCCCTTACACTCAAAGCTTGTTCTTTTGGCATTAGAAATCTTGCAAGGACATTCTCTGAACAAATGAATTTGGCTAGCTTGGTACTGACTGCTGAACTCAGAACACATCACTTATGAGTTTCACAGTGCAAATAAAGTCCTGCATTACTTGCTACTGCAGCAGACAGGCACTTAAGGAAAGAAGGTCAGGAATGGAAGGGGAAAGCTAGCATGGACAAAAACACAGCTAATGTGAGCCTGGAAAGAAAGCAAATGCTGCATCTCCATCCTCTGCTTCTTCCTTATAGGAATAGTAATACCTTAAGAAGCATGTTCCTAATTACCTTCTGCTTCCTTACCAGAGCTGGGATGCACCAGGTATTTTTCTGCTTTTCCTACATGCACAGCTCTCACCACTTTCAGCTGAGGAGCACGACTCAGCGTTCAAGGAGATACATGGGAGAATGTACTGAAAGAACCAGAGCTAAGCAGAGCTTTTTAGTTTCCAGGGAACCCCAAGTGAGACCAAGTATCAACTCTGAACTCAACTTGGAAGAGCAGACTAAAAGTGCACAGAAGACCAACTCATTTGCACAGGCTTCTCAAGCTCCTGGAGACTGTCTTCCACTGCTCATCATTCAGAGAGGAGTCACTGATGTGAACAGTTATCCATCATGATCCGACCAAATTAGAACATGGATATAACATATGCAAGGCATATATAAGAGACCCTTAAAGAAGATTGATCTTATAAAGCTTATAAGATCTTATAACATATTCTTGCTAACTGTATCATGCCTTTATAAGATCTTATAAGATCTTACAGTTAGCAAGAATATGTTTTTTAAAAAAAGGTCAAGAAAATTCAAAGAAGGAATTAGCCAAAGGAGAGGCTAGATAATAATACTGGTTGATGTAAAAGGGAGTCCAAGTGATTCACCACACTGCAATCGACTTTTGTTTCATAAGAAAGACAAATGGTGAATACCAAACAAAGAAGAAAAGAGGCAACAGAGAGGAAATACGGTCTCTCCTGAAGACAGATGCCATTTTCATGGTATTACCACATAGACCATGATGTACCATGACAAATCTCAGTTTGTGAGTAAAAACCAACATTTGCCAATTGTCAGGTATATGGACTAAAATGTAGGAACCAACTGGTCTTTCCTGATTAGCGTGATCAGTAATGGAGATTATGCATGTCAAGCCCTCCTGCAATTAATACTATGCTTATTCCTTGTTCTACCCATGACTTGCCTCACACTGGCAATCCAGAGGCATTCAGGTGGCCCAGGAACCAGTATGTACCAAGCATCAACCATACTTAGAAAGAAACACATTCTGGCATACAATTGTTTCGAGCTTTTTTCGCTCCATGTGACTCTCATGGCAAAAAGAAGAAAACATTTGCAGTTGCTACTGCTAGTAGGTAGGACTGTACACAAGGGGCAAGTTTGCTAGGCAAAAAGGTGCCATTTCTCTTTACATCTATATTACAGACAGAAGAAAAGCAAGCCAAGGGAAGCACTAAGGGAAGGAGGAATTGGCAGGAACAGTGCTGGGAAGAAAAATGTATTTTCTGTGTCGTTTAACTGATAGCACAGGGCACACTTGAGTGAATGTAGATGCATTAAAGCACTGTTTTCTTCTGGGTTCTCTGGAGAAATGGAGTCTGTTTTAATGACTCAGCTTCCTCTATAATCATGGAATTTTTATGCCAAATAACTCAAACAAGCTTGTGCAAATCTCAGTATGAAAAACAATGCTGTAAATGCAGTAACAGTTACCCTCATATATATATTTTTTTCCATTGGAGCACTGTGATACTGAATGCCTTTACTCTGACTCACAACACACTGATTGATATCCACACAACTCACACTGCACAAGATTTAAGTAAAACACCAAGCAAGACTTTCAGTAGAAAAATGGCACAGCTACCCTGCACGGAGCTTGAAGGCACTTCAAGAAGAATGTGCCCCAAAATCCCACTCTGGGAGCTAGACTGAATGGCAGAGAGCTGCATGCAGAAAACACTTCCCCTCCGCATAACCCGGGGAGCAACAAAACCTCTTGTGGTGCCTGCGGCGGCGTGGGGGAAGAGCCGTCACAGGATGAGAGGTGACACACAGATGAGACCAAGATTGCAGACGTGTAAGATTACTATCAGTGGCAAGCAGACATCAACAGGATGGCAAGGGAGGGTAAGGACATCTTACTCCTAAAGGCACTCCTCACACTGAGCAGCCTTCCAGCCCTGCAGGATCACAAGTTGCCACTCAGGATACTCTGCAGGCTTGCTCCTTTCCCACATCCTACTTCTCTCACTTTCACTCTGTGGAATGGCATCACTGTCCCTGACACCCCATCAGTTTTTATAGCCACTGTAAATGAGGCCTTGTGATCTTCACCTACTTCTGCCCCTCTCCTTGCAACGTTTCTCTCCCCCATGAGCCTTCAGTCCTTAACTAAAGGCTTGTGGATTCCTGTGACAGTACACCAGGAGCCCAGGGGAGAAAACCAACACTCACAGTACGCTCGCTGTCAAGAGGTCTCTTGCTGCAGGTAATCTGCACTCCTCCTGCAATACTTACAGAATGTCTGCAGAATGCTAAGGGCTGAACACCGTCTCAGGTAGCAATACACTGCACTAGCCCAGGTCTCCTATGAAGAGAATGCTAATGCTTCTTATAAACTTTAATTAAGCTACGGGGTATCCAAGTAAGGCTGGCAATTACAATGACAATCACCTAATACTCGCTGTATCTGTGACATGAGCTCTTGTGGCCACAGCTCCTTCTACTGTGTAGTACTGTGTGTGAAATAATATACACTGACTTATCAATGTGGGCATGCAGCCATGCTGACATGGCCACACAGCTTTCATTTATACAGCTAAATAAAGCAGGGCCAGAAAGCAAATTCATCTGCAGGATCACAGCTCGTCCTTACTGTTCAAGTACCAGCACACTGCCTGGCACTATGAGAGACCAAAAGAAACGAGACAGGCCAAGTTCTCTGTAGTGGGGACAGGGCTGCTCTGTGCCACTTGGTCTTGCTTTATTTAGCAGATTGCTGTCACAGCTTCACAACCTGCCATGTGGCTGTACAGGCACACTTTGTACACACATCTATGTAGACAAACCTTATGTCACAGAGAAGTGAAATGACTGGCCCAAAGACTCAGGAAATGCGTGGCAAAACTACGTGCAACAGGCAGGTGTGCACACTGCCTGTCCCCCGCTTAACCAGCAGACCAAAGTATTAGTATCCTCTCTCTGCTGTTTTAAATAGGAATACAAAGTTTCAATTCCTCTAGGCGGCTGGTGAATTTCCTCCCTTCAGCAATGCATTTCTCATTACCCTTTATGATGATATCAAGTTTGATTTGTTCCCCAGGGAAAGATTTTCTCCTTGCACCTGATTACTTCTCCTCTCCTTACTCTGATGTTCCTATTTGAAATGCCAAGAGGCATTTTCTGAAGCATTCTTGACAATGGTTAATTACAGAAGGGTCCATCAGAGTGCACAGGTATGGGTCATGGAAGGGCTGCTGGGGCCTCGTCCCAGGCAAGGCAGCCAGCACGACCTCCTGGATCTGAGTCAGCCTCACCTGCCTGCTGCCACCCACGGTGTGGGTCATGCATATCCCCTGCACAGCCAGACAGGATGGAACAGCAGTATGCCATCCCAGGGACACGGTAACCACAGGCTGCATCTGTGAGATAAACACTAACTTGAGCACTGAATCTTAATATTGAAAGTACCGGTCTTGGTGACATGCAGGGTATGGGCCAGTGAGTTGTAATAACTGAGAAAGTTTAATTAATGGCAGAATCATTACTGTAACTTTAATTACCGTCAGCATCAGCACAGTTATGCCTTACCTCTCAGGTAGGTGCAAGCTTCTCAACGTACACTCTGCAGGGCACAGATCATCTGCTTCTGTATTTGCAGAGCACCTAACAGACCGTGGTCTAGGTTAATCACTAGATCTCAAGGGAAACAATTCCTCAAAAGTAAATATTTCAATTATGCTACAGAAAAACAAATTCCTTTCTTTTTATGACTAGCATTAAGCCTTCCCCTACAGAATGCCCGGAGTGCCCCTTACACCACTGCTGAAATTGCTAACCTCCCAGTCCTTCCTTCCAGATGGAAGCGTCCTATCCTTTGGACAAATACTGCCTTTTGTTTCAAACACATCATCTCTCTGCTACACACCTGCCTCACTCAACATTTTATCTGAATCCATGCACAACCATGACGCACCCACCAATATCTTCTGCACACATACATACACCCTATCTGCTCTGCCATCCATGTGCCACAGGTAATTGGTCTACTAGCCTGACTTGGGACAGCTTTTGTTATACTTCGATAAAATATTTTGCAGAAAATAGAGCCATCAGCAGAATCTACAAACAAGCACTGAGCAACTCAGCACTTATTTGTCTACTCGTCCATTCTCTGTTTTGTGTCAGCATGAAACATTGGTCTCACAGTTCACACTTGCCCTGCTGAACTACAGCATGATAAAATATTTATACTTCTCCCTGAGAAGCCACATTCTAGCCATCACTCATACAGGCTTAAAACAATGGAGCGGCAGTTACTCTCTTGTTATTAAACCTGCAAAACACACTAATAATTCCTTTTGATCAGCTTCCGTGCTATGAAGCTGCAGTCAAATAAACACCCTCCTTCTATTCTGAACTCATTTAAAACAAAATTTAGTGCCAATGCTTTTGAGAGGTAAAGGGCACTGCACAGCATCAGCTGTGGTACCTCAGCACTGCACAAACAAACCTGCTCTGCTCCAAAGTATCTCTTCATGTGTCATCAGTGAAGCTACTGTATAAGGCTCAGACTTGCAAATTCTAGCTGGGCTCCCAATGTGGGAAGGCTATGTGAGGCTATAACCATCACACTCATTTCCCCTGAGGTTTAAGTTGCAGTCAGCTGAGGTCTATGTCTCATTTTCAGCATTTGCCAAATGTCTACCCAAAAGAAAATTTGAACAAGTACTTTTCTATTTCACTATTATTCATCAAGCTGGCGTAAGCACAGTAAATTAACCATAATTACCCAATGCCTCCTACAAAAATGCCTGGTCTTGCAAATTCAGAGTAAAGGAAATCATTGTTTAGAAATGTTTGAGTTACCAGTCTGTGAAAAATTACTTACCTATTCCTGACATTCAGATAGTTGAGCACAGTTAAAATGATTTGATTGGGAAAGCATGGGAAACAAAAAATTTTTGGTCCTAAGGGTTGGTTGCACCTGGGTTCTCCTTTGTAAACCATCACAATGCTCTGAAGCAAGATGCACAAAAGAACAACTCCAAAGAGAAAACAAACTGCCTTACAGCTTCTTTAGAGCACATCAACACGTCTTGTTAAACCAGTGAATGCCAACTGCAGTGCTACTCCTTCAGAGAAACTCGCAAGGCATTGGTGCATGAACTGTTGATGCTGGGATTGTTGGAACTCCGCTAAAACATGAGAATCTCTGTGTATCTCAATGTGTACATATGTGAGATTCTTCTAGATTTGATCAGCTACTTTTAACATAATGATTATCTAAGGACTTATTTAAATATTTTAAGCACTTCCACTTGACACATGTACATGTGCGCTTCATTTCTTCACTCTTGTTCTTCTTTTGCCTTCTGCTGTCTGGCTATTTTTAAATCAAAATATGTCACAAGTGAATCATTTGGGGATTTTTTTTCAACACATCATGTATCACTATCAATATTTCCAACCTCTTTGACTCAGTCAGCAGATAATCTTTCAAAACAGACTCCAAATTGCTTGTTAAACACAAACAGTTAAGACATCAGCTGTGTAGAAACCTGCAAGGAGCTACACCACTTGACAGAAACATTAGGCATGCTTACTGGCAGGGTTTGCTGAGCAGGTAGAGTCAGCTGGTTTGTAGGTAATGGCACCTTCACTGTTAGTGTCGAACATGTTAACATCACAGCAGCTGAGAAATCTGGCTTCTTTCATCACAAGATTTTGGTTTTTTTAAGCTTGCACAGCTTAAAAGATACTACAAACATCCCCGGAATTCTCTACCTCCCTCACTCCGGTTGCCCTGATTATCCAGAGATGTTGGTTTGGAGCACTTGCTCTCTCCTATGTGTGTGACAATGCCGGGATGAGACTTCAATTATAGGAAAACAGCCTAAATGTCATCAATGCTCCACAGTAAATCTATGGAATACTGACACCTGCCGGCAAAGGACTTCACATTACTCCTGGACAGCAATTTGCCCTCCATCTACACCCAAAAGCTGATTTCCATCCCATAAGCACAAAAGCCATCACAAGCAGGAAACGAGCACAGTTAGGATGCCAAAATGAAGATCAAGAGCTATCCTTACACTGCGAAACAGCTGCAAGGAACTCCTGCCCCCTAGAAGCCAGTGGCTCCCTGCCAGGTCCGTGGGATTTCCCACTGTGTATTTTGAATCTCAGCAAAGAGAACAGGAATTACCTGTGCCAGGAAGACAATTTTTTTGTAACTGAAAAAGTGTTGACCTGGCTTCAGAGCCCACCAAGCTGGCAGAAAACCAATCCTAGGGAAAAAAGAAGAAACAGTAATCCTGTGCTGCATTCATGAGCTGAATCTGCTCAGCAGTGAGTACCAGAGATGAGACCAGAGCTGGAGGACGAGGGGAGAACAGAGCTGGAAGCAAGACTAAGGCAGCAGGACAGCCCTCCTAGCACCAGCCTGCAGGCTCAGCTTTTTCACCAAACTGCATCTACAATCCACGTGGCCAAACACACAGGCGACCAGCAGGAAAAGGTGTCCTCTAAATTATTCAGACGATGTGCACCAAGGCACTGAGATAAGTTTGGTGTCCCCTCCTCCTTTCCAAAAAGGAAAATAAAGGGAGACAAAAATCTGTCTGGGTTAGTTCATGCAGCTAAAGATACCTGCATGTTTGTGCTTCCCTTGTACTAATTTGTTACACAGACTCATGCCACAAAACAACCCAACCTCTTATTTGCTTTTGAAAGACTCCTGTATCCAGGAGACAGGATAAAGAAAATGACAGTGCTACTATTCACTCGGTAGCAAAATTAGCACTCCAAAACAAAACGCTTTAGAGTCACTTGCAGTGAATTTAAAGCCTGTGCCTGTGTTGACTTTAGTTCTGTTTCAACTTTAATTGATTACTTGAGTCATCTTTTTAGTTGTTTTCCTGAGTGCAAGGAGAATGTTTTCTGCAAGAAGGCAAATGTGGATGTGACAATTAAAATTACAAAAAAAAAAGCACTTTTAAAGCCTTAATGAACTTTACATAAGCAAAAAGCCATAGCATATTAGAACTCTCAGACCTCCAGGTTCACTGCAGGATACCCTGCACAGACACAGTGTTAAAATTAAATCACAGTGTTCATCGTTTAGTTTACACCAGGGAAATTCAGGATGAAGGGATACCAAAGGGCATTACAAAGTGATGACACAGAGACACATCAACTATTCAATTTTGAAGTATTTTTTCCCAAATCTTTCAAAGACAGAGACTCTTTGTAATGATACCATGCATGCAGAGAATCATGGAATCATTAAGGTTGAAAAAGACCACTGAGATCATTAAGTCCAACCCCAGCTCCCCCCCCACCATGCCCACATGTCGCTCAGTGCAACGTCCCCACAGTGCTAGAACACCTCCAGCTGCCAGCTTCTGCAGGAGAATTCTGCAGGAGACACATTTCAAATAGAAGAAATGGGAGAAGTTCAACTAAAAGTATGGGTGCTCAAGTAGCAAATTGAGTGTGGAGTGTTACAGGGCTGTCTCAAGAGAGCTGTGGCAGCTGTGCAGCACCAGAGGAAGGGCAGGCATCACCGCAGGGAAGAGGGGTCCAGTGCTGGGGATGGCATCACACATCTTGCAGCTGAAGGCTGGAATGCACACAAACCTTGGGGGGAGCAGTTGCTGCCACAGCTGGGTCCAAACCCTGAAATAGCTATTTTTCCCAGCAAGTCTTTTCCTAGTGTTTCTTGTTAGGGAATGCACTATGCAGAATAATTTAAGATTACCTCTGGTCTATTTTACAGAGCTGGAATAATGTAACAGGCATTTGTGTAACAACTTGTACATGTGGGTTACCTGTGTGGAAACCACCAAAAAAGACCTAGCCAGCCTAGCTGATTTGAAAACAGTGATATGGTATGTACAGAAAGAATTAACTGATAGACTGTCATTACACATATTTCACAATGTTTATTCACCTAGGCATAATATGGTATCTTGGGCATCTTTTCTCCAAAATAACACAGAGAAATCGCAAAGGTTGACAGACCAGTGGGTGGAACTGCTGCAGATGTAGGAAAGCTTTCATATGAGAATAAGAAAACAGAAAATACTTGGCAAAGAAATATCGTTATAATACAGGCTTAACTAAGCAATGAATAATAAAGAGAAAGTAAATCAAACACCCTTATTTACTTCTCATCACAAAAGAATGAGGTATCACTTGAAATGAAAGCAGCAAATTTAAATTGAATACAAGGAACACAGTATTTCACATAACATAGGAACATAATACAATATTAACGTAACAGGGAACATAATGTGTCATATTATGACTGAGTACAACTCGCTGCTGTCAGAAGGCTGCAGAGCCAAGGGCTTAATACAAATAACATTAGATGCTTATAGGCATGACCAGAGTGCATAGAGTTAAAGCAGAAAAGAGAACTTGTTTGTAAGGGAATAAGTCAGGACCTGCATGTAGAGAGGTGGGAAGAAATCTCAGTTATTGCTACAGAGGTACAAGTTGTGAGATTTCCTGCACCTTGTAAAACTCCTGATGCTGGACTGAATGCCCAGAGCTGTGACCCAGCACTGTGTGTGGGGAGCATTCTCTCTCTACAAGCAGACTCATCACCAGAATGTTAATGCCTCACTGGCACTGAATTTGCTCTCCTTATGCGTATCAAAATACTATGGCTCACTGTCTCCATGCAGAAGTTCATCCAAACTTCTGATCATTTCATTAACAAATAGATTACATTAAGAACTAAGCCTTGATTTTCAATTTTGTTTTGTCCTATGGTTTCAGATTTTCTTTTTTATGACCAGCGCAAAGAGACTTTAAATTATAATCTAACTCTTGACATATATTGTAGTGTAAGTTTTAATCAAGACTCCCAGAGGAAAGGAAAATCTAACACTATCCTCAATCACTTTACAATTTTGTTTGGAGTGTTTTTATTTTTTCTTACTAAACAGCAATATTTATCATGTCTGCTTTCCACAAACCCGTATTTCATTTATTCCAGATATGCAGATTGAAACGTATATCACTTAAGTATGTCACAGTTACCCCTGACTATTATTTACTACATGCCTTTTTTCAGAATGATTAACAGCATTTTGCATACTCCCATTAAACCTCCACGTACAACACCACTACCTCTAATGGATCTGAAGCAGCTTATTAGATCTCTGTGCTTCAAGGCAAGGCATTTTCTCTTCATACTGCCTTTTGATTCTCAACTCCCATAAGCCTCATCTTTCAAAATCCTCTCACTTCTGGTGCTTTCTGTTTTGGGCAGGAGAGGGCTCCTAGCCCATTATCTATCTTTTAACATCCCATTTTACTTTGCAGCTGTATGTTAAACCTCTTCTTCTTAAGATTGTATTGTCACTGCTTCAGATACACTTCTAAAGAACTTTGCTAAAATTTGGAACGATTAAGAATACAGACAGCATCACAAGGCAGACCATCAGTCCTGGCAACACGTGCAGCTCTTTGAATGTATGACTCAATAGTGGCATTTAGTGACAAGTGAAACCGAGCTTTTGAGGGCTAACACATTTCTGCAGAGCAGATCCTAATGGAAAAGTTAAAATAGAGTTAATCAACATTCTGGAATCACTACGAACCACATGAGGTTGCTTGCAATGGCAGTCTAGATGAAGCCAGTGTTTCCTTGTGAGAATAAGTAGCTCTTGTACACCACACTTCCTTGCTACCAGCATGTTGGTGGCATTTATGTTGCAGCAAGGCTCAAAGTAAGTTGTAAGGATAGCAAAATATAACTAACCTCAGGAGCTAGCATACAAGGCTTTTGTGAAAACAAAGCAGCTGTAAATCATTACTAGACATGTTAGCATTTCCTCACTTCGTTTGAACTTTGGATTTTTCCTTGTTATTAATAAATAACATACTTTCCAAATCGTGGATTGTCTAGTTAGCATCACACTAATTATTTTGAAGGTACAACACAAACACTGCAATCAGGAGGTCACCAGATTTCCAGTAGTGAGAATTCTGGAAGTCTCCAAAGTAAATTACAAATCTAGTTCTTTATACATTTGTTTCTGGGAGCAAAAATACTTATGTTTCAGGAGAGTAGCTGCAGCTTATTCAGCATGGCCCATTATCACAAGATACTACATTTTCAGATGACATTTTCCAGCCTGGGTATTTCTGCCAAACCGAGGTTGTTTTGTTCTTTTTTTTTTCTTTTTTTTTTTTTAATTTCAGACAAAATGGTTCATCGGACTCTGAGAACAAAGCTAGCAAAAAATGTTCAGGAAAGCTCTGCAGCTCCATGTTTTCAGGCGAGAAATCTTCATCAGAGTAGCCTTTGTGTCAACGATGTGGCTGTAACCCTTCCAAAGTCCATTTGAGTCAGTCTTATAAAATGCTGTTAAAACCTGCTGTTTGCACAGGCTCAGGAGAGATCTGTCAGAGTTAATGCTGGGCCTCTCCAGTTGTCACCCTCTCCAAACCGCTGCTGGAGCTGCAAGCACATGGACAGCCCCACAACTTTCCAGGAACCAGTGCCAGTTTACACGGGACATTCCCTCCATTCTGCCTACCCCACAGCCACATGGCAAACTCAATCCAGCCACTTATCTGACTTAAAAGATCCCAACCCAAATAGGAAGATAGGAGGAAAATATTCTTCATCCAGTTTATGACGGGGAGGCCGGGGTAGGAGCATGCTGCAATCACAGAGAAGGAACGTTCCTAAAGCCAGCAGAGAGAGCTGGAGCTGCAAGTTCAGGCCTTCCAGCCTGCAGCACTCCAAGCCACGGGCAGCCAGGAGGGCCCCCATCACAAAGCCTGTCGAACTGGGGCAAGACTGGGAACTGAAACAAGGAAGGAAATGACTGAAGTTTCACTAGCATTTCTTCTGGCGAGCCACCAGTTTACACAACCCCTCATCACCAGCTCCCTACCAAGCCTGTAGCTGCAGCAGTCCAAATGGCACATGGCCCTGCATGAGAGGAGAGCCTTTTACTGGTGGTGGGCTGGTTCTAACCTAGACAAGGTTCCCAGTACAGATACCTGTACCGCTCCACAGAGGAGGGATAGGGACAATGAGAAAGAAAGCAAGGAGGAGAGGGTAGCAGCTTATTTAACACTGCAGTGATCAACAAAAACAATCACCGAACTATGCTTGAGATGCAATTCTGCACTGTTTAGTGGAAGAAAATTGAAATTTAACAGAAGGTGAACTCTTCCAAGCCAATGAAGAAGAAGCCAGCCCAGGGGGGAAGGAAATGAGTAAATTGGGACTAGGAATCTTGTATGTCTGGGCTCAGACAAGTGAAAGAAGAAAAAGCACATGATGTCCTCCTTTCTGGTGGAGGGAAGCTATTTATGTTGGCCCAGCTGCCCACGAAATGACAGCCTATGGCTGGGAGGAAGAGGAAAGAGGGAGTTGGGTCAGAAAGGATGCTTGGAGATGGAGACTTGGACTTTTGGGCAAAGAGCTGGAGGGCTGGAGGCAGACATTACGTTCACAAAAAAATTACAGGTTTGAAAAGAGGCTGTATGGGAATGAATCAATGATTGAGCACCTGGTGAAGGGACACAGCCAGCCCAGGGAGCACAGGTGAAAGCAATTCACTTGTGTAACTGGAACCAGGTTCCACCTCTCCCTAAGCCTCATTTAAGTGGTGGCTGCCCCACAAGACAGGTCTCTACCTGGAGATCCTTCCTTTTGGTGTATTTGGCAAGACCTGATCCTGGGGAGGAGTAAGTAACTCTTTCTTTGGCTGGATTATGACCATCAGCTTATTTTGGGGATAATTTAGAACAGGTTATCTACCATTGCTTTTCCTTATAGGGGCATTTTATCAAAAGGACACGTTGAATCCAGTTCCAGGAAGAATAATCTATTCTTACAAGGAATAACTTAGCCTTTTGTTTTTCCCTCTAGCTCTCAAGGCAGTTTAAAATAATAATAAATTCAAATACAAGCAAAGAAAACCACGTCCAGCCTGCTGAACCACACCACCTCTTTAAACCACACTGAGATGAGAGCTGCTGGGTAGGTACCCCTTAAATCTCTGTAGGAATCATAACAAAAAGCAAACAGGGAGCACGGTTTTATCTGATTGACTCCTTCCAAAGTTGTGCAAGGTGTCTATACTCCCACAAGCAGTTACTGTGGTGTATAGGATCTTTCATCAAAGGTACTATTTCAGCAAACACCATACTAGTACGTGTTTATACTTTAGATGGGCAAGGATACAAACAAGTGAAAGGGCATGTACTGAGAAAATGTACCAATGGCTTGTTCCAGAGGTGGTTGAAAATTTTTCAGCAGAGACAACTAGAAATCAGCTGAGTAATGCACACATATACATCCCTACCCCAAACAAAATATCTAGACTTTTTCTGCATTTGTTACTTGTTACCATGTCCATTTAGCTTGAAGGACAGAACTCTTCATATGAAAACTAGTTACCAATGCACAGTAGAGAAGACAACAGACTCTCTGTTACTACAAAAACCGCAGTGGCTTTTGCTATGCCAACAATGTGTAACACCATGTACTACCAGGGTGAAAACAGGTAAATCCTGATCTAACAAAAAAGGACTTTCTTCAAAAGGCAGGGTTGGTGCCTAGTACTCACAGCCTGTGAGTACTATGAAGACTAGGAAACCTGATGTGAAAATTACTTAGCCTTACATTTGAGCGATTCTTCACAATAACCATGCCTGTAAAAAGGAAAGAAGTTTAAAGGACTGTCTGAATTTGAGCTTTTTGTCATGCAAAATGAATACACTCAGTAGTGACATGACTTATTTATGTACCTGCAGGGTATTCCTTGGAAATTACATAGCAACTTATGAAAGCAATGGGAACATTACTAATATAACACCATGTCATCTCCTGATATCAGAGTAAATGCCTTGGATCACCACAGTATTTGATAACATCACAAAGATAAATGTTTCATCCATGCATAATTCCAACAATGGAGGATGAATGTGGCAGCAAGGCAATTTGCATTCCTGCAAATGTACCAAAACTCAATGGATATAACTGACACAAAAATGTAGCAGAAGTGTTTTAAAGAAGCACTGAAAGGCAGTGTCTGTTTCTGTGGGGAAAGATTGAGGTGAGTGTGTCCAACCATGCCACGAAGAAAAAACCAAACTTTATAGTTTTCAAAACCTATCCAGGGAGAAAGGATTAGGGTCTGACTTCCAATCCACAATGAATTAATTACTCCTTTGTTACTGAGTACAAAAGATTAAACTAAAGCTTTAGGCAGAGCAAGTCTGATGCGGTTGTGCATCAGCAGTTACAACTGCTGGTCATAAAGACAGAGTACCATTTTAAAAGTCACCAGGCTTTCTTGTTATTGTTCTGTGCTCATCACCAGACCCAGGTGCAGAGGATGAAGCAGCTCCAGAGCTAAACAGGCACCAAAGCTTGCTCCTGCATTCTCCATCTTCACAGCCCCAAACAGGTCATCCCCAAGATAAACTCTATACCAGGTAATTCTTGCTCTCATTACAATTAAAATTGTGTGCTTACTCTGTGATCTTTGCAAGAGACTTATTAAATTTAACTAACAGCAGCTCTTTGGCAGTACAAAAGCTTGTTTCAAGTATCTAAACCAAGCCCAGTCAACAGAACCCTGGACTTTTTATGGGTTACCTTCAAAAGCCCTGAGAAACCACAGATACCTGCAAAAAAAACCAATAGGAAAACAAATAACAGCACTAAATATTAAATGCAAAGAGCACAGCTGTATGAAGCAGTTGAATCCTTTGCCAGCTATCCTGCAGACACAGACAGACAGGACTCTGGATTAAGGAAGAGGTAATAATAAATAAAAGGGAATCAAACGCAGTGAAAATGCTGATAAATGAAGACTATGTACTAAAGCTAATGCTTTCAGCAATGTTTGTCTAAAGCACAGCGTTCAGGGAAAGTGCATTAGCATCCCAAAACAAATGCAAAGCCCAGTTCAGCCAAACAGCTTTATATAAGTTTTATGTTTCTGTATTGAACATTCAAAAGCTGTAAGTCTGTGAGGTGTGGAAGCTGCCTGCATGGTAAATTTCCGTCTAGAGAAAATTTCCCCAGACTGAGGTTTCAAGCACAAATTCACCATGTTTTCCATTAATACAACTAAAAAATTCTGCAGATGTTTCAGGGTGATGTTATTGTTTATCAAAAGTGACAATAATTAACGCAGACAAAGAAAAAGTAAGATTGCTTACAGTTCTTTAGAAATTGGGGAATTTTATGGTAAAAGACAGAGAGGTTATTTTGGGATCAAGGCAGACCTACGTGAACTTTTCAACCCTATGAAGAATCAGTGTCTGAGACACCACTGTAAGACCAAAATAAAAAAAATGTAAGGGAGCAATGATTGAAAAGAGTTTATGATATTTGCCCAATCCTACAAGCAAGTTATCTTATTTTCAGTCTAAGGTCTCAGTCCAGAAAACTGTTCTGCATGGGCAGCACTGTGCTTCACCCATGCAATACAATTTTCAGGATCAAAGATTTCAGAAAATTCTCATGTCAGCCTATAGGCATCATCTGAAAAGTTTTGTACTTTTCAGGCAGTGGAAATTAAAGTTCTCAGAGCATATCTGAAAACTGTGAATCCCTGTGACTTTCAATGGCAGCTCAAGAGACTCCTGGCAAGGTTCTGCCTCCTCCGTGAGCCTCTATGCTATGCTTGCCAAGATTGCATTGAGCCTGTCCTTGGAACAGGACCAGGGAGATGATTTATCTGGAGTGATGGACTTATTTCAGTTGGATCAACTGTCCAGTCTTGCTCTTGCCAGCTTTGCTCACAGTGGTGGCAGAGAGCAGCGAAAAACAGGCAAGAGAAAGTAACACCTGCTAACACTGACTTCAGCATCTCTACCAAAACATGTAAGACCAAAGCAAAGCACTTAATTTTTGTGATCAGATTATTTCCTACCAGGCTGCTCCTGCTCAACAACCCTATGCTGTATGATGAAATCACTCACCGCCAGCAAGAGCTTCCTCTCTTGCGCTGTCATCATCACTAGGCTGAAGAATATTCCAGGATGTCAAAGTAAGTGAAGAGATGTCTGCAGCTGATGACAACTTCAGCATGTCCATGTGATTGCTGTGAGGTTTGTAACGTGGGATGAAACACTCTTTGCCTTGCTTAAAAATGTCCTTAATGATTTCTTCTGTCTGGATTTCATCTGGCATGCTCAGGAAGATTGCAATTCTTTTGGATTCTTGGTACTTGGAATGCCCAATCACCTATAAAGGAAACTGCAATCATCAGTTCAGGAAAAGTTCACAAAAAGACTGATTTTATTTTAATTAAAAACGCCACTGGAGGAAAATACCCATTGGAAAAAGTAGAGATACAAATTACTATAAAGAGAATAAAATGTCTTTTGTTTCCTGTTCCAACACTTCTACCATCAGCAAAATCAAAATAAGCAAATTTTTGTACCCAGATAAAAATAAAACGGGTTGAGACTATCAAAAAACAATTTTGGAGTCAGTCCAAACCCTTTAAATACTTATGCCATACAGCACCAGTATCTTTAAATACCCAGCATTGCTGTCAGAACTGCCAGCTTATACAGAAGGTTTTTGCATTCCTTTAATTCCATCTTTTTTGCATGCTGTGCTTCATAACTGGACCTGGCCACAATGAGAAGCGCATTGATTACAATAACTCAAAAGAAAATATGCATTAGAGCAGTTGACTGCAGAGCTCAAAGTCTTACAAGATCAGGCCTTTCTTTTGTTAATCTGGAATGCCTTTCCAAAAGCAGATTTAGATGCACAGCTATAAACATCACCTGCTTGTGATGAGTAATCTTATTACTGTATGTTTTTCAGAGGTTGAAGGAAAGATGGCCTTGCTGGTTTTTGATTTTCAGGAGGTTGTCTGTGCTGGACTTAGGAAAGATTGAATGTAGGAAGGAAAATAAAAAAGCAGTGAATGTGGTAAAAAAAAAAATAAAAATAAAAATAAAAAAATTAACAGATTCATACCTTGCTGTGTCTCTGCCAAATTCCAGATTAAATCCCATATTAAAATTTGTGAGGATTTTTTTTTTAAAGGCTTGTCTTCTCCTTTTCTAGTATATTACAAAACAAATACAAATGGGTCCCTTGTGAATTAAATGTGATTTATACTTGTTCTACATGCTTCCAGTAATCTATCAAAAATTGAGAAACAGTGCTTATCTACGAACAGAGAACAGCAAATCCTCTGTGTTTACCAAACTTCAGGGTAACTGCCCTACTGAGCTTTAGCCTTTGCACTTTTTTTGGAGAAAGATATGCTAATATCTGAGTTTCAAATTGGTTCTCATTCCCTTTTATTCTTTCTTTCTAGCAGCCCAGTTACAAACCCAGTTGAAGTACGAAAAGATGGATGTATTTTTGTAAGGTAAGATATAATGAGATACTCCAGCCCTGATTATGGTAATGTTCTGCTTGATGATAGAGCACCCAGCAATTCCAAAGTGTATTTTATTTCTCTTTGTAGCTTACCCAACCTTACCCATGGATTCTTCCAACTAAGTTATTAAGCTCTAAAACGACAGAATCTCCACGCTAGCCTTTGTTTGAAAGAACAGACTACTGAGTTGAATCACAGCACTGTCCAGAGCTTGCAGTTTGTTACTGAGGGGCTCCCTCTCTTTCTCAGGGGTTCAGAGAGCAGAGAAACTGAAACACAGCTCTCCTCTTTCAAAGTGGGTGCTGTGGGCACCATACAGGCTAAATGTGTTCTCACATGTCCAACAACACATTGATTATGCAGCACAGAAAGAAATGAGGTTGGAGATGTAAAACCACAAGCTACCAGGAAGACAAAATTTCTGATGTTTTCAGAAATGTGAAGATGAAGCTGCTCTGAGTAGTTTCTGAGAAGAGTGAAAAAATTTCCACGCTTAAAAAATATTATGTGCCCTTTGCTCACCCGCTGATGGCTATTACTGCAGAATCAGAGCATGCAAACAGCATGACTTCAATCATGGATGTGCACATTAAAAAAGAATAGTCATCCAGAAGCTAATTAAACACCAGTGGCTAGGCCAGCGAGTGTAGCAATTTCAGTTTGAACTTAAAGATCATTCTGAGATGAGATTTTGCTTTGAAAAATATTGTTCAGGTGCTATAAAATAATGTGCTCGCTTTTATTAGCTGCCATTTCTGGTACGTATTATAAAGCTGCCCTTTGAGCCTCACGCTGTTCCACGTATTTTCTCAGCACTCTCAAAAACTTCACGCCTATCACATCGCTTTCCCATGAGGAAGCTGACTGTTTCCTGTCACTGCAGAATGCCATCCTGTCTGAAGAAAGCTCAAGACTTTCAACTTGTGTCATACCAGCAAAATGTCATGGTGGCATGAATTTGTCATATTTCCCCAGCCTTCCTTTAAGTAAAACAAAAGCTTTACTTTTTGGCATGTTCTTACCACCAAGAGTAAGTGTGCTGTTGCTGAGTGCATCAGCTGTGTTCAGACCAAGGCTCTCCAACCATTCTGCACTACGTGGCCTGGGTGCTTATAAGGTTGGCTGAAGACTGTGCATTTTTGGACTGAAATTTAAGGATAGGATGTGAAATTATTACAATGCAAACATATTTCAGTAGGACTTTATATATATAAAAGAGGAAAAAAAGAATGAAATGTTCCAAATTAAAAAAAAAAAAAGCATCCGTGAGTTCTAGTTCAACCCCTGTCCTAAAGTTTCTGTGCTGCTGTGTCACGGAGTGGCAGCACAGCACCATTAGGTGAAGTTTATAAAATGATTTCAGATCCTTCGGCAGGAAAATAACTCTATAAATGCAAATCACCTACATGTACACGCTGGTGCTGCAAAAAAAAAAAAGAAGAAAAAAAAAGATGACTGTGTTCTATTACACACAGTGACTACAAAATATCCTTTTATTGTGTCTCCTAAAATGATAAAACACAGCAATATAAAAGTTCAGTCAGCAAACGGAACGTTCGCAAAGCACGGCTGAGGCGAGCCCTGCCGGCAGCTCCGCGGCACGGAAATGACAGGGAAGAAGCGCGCTGAAAGGCACGGACGGGAAACGGCAGCCAAAAGGCCGCGACCAGGCGGTGGCAAAGCTTTCAGACGTGCTTTGCTGTGCGCGCGGAGCGATGTGACAAAAGCAGGAAGAACGCCCGCCGCAAAACCCCGCTGCTTTGGGCTCCGTCGCAAAGCTCGCCTCCAGCCTCGCCGCCTCCCAGCGCGGCAGCAGGAAGAGAAGAGCTCGCTCCTCGCTGCGCTCCACGAGGTGGGGTGGTGGTGGGGGGGGGGAAGCCGGGCTCACCGCTCCGGCCCCTGGAATGCCCGCCGCCCTCCCCCCGCCCCCGGGTTCCGCTCTTCCTGGAAGCAGCGCACCCACCTTGCGACTCAGCAGCCGGGACTGCCGCTGCTTCTCCGCCGCGCCCAGGGCCCGCAGTCTGTGCCGCAGCTCCGCTCGCAGCGTCCGCTTGGCGGCCGCCAGCGCCGCCGCCATTTCGCTGCCGCCCTCCGCCGGCGGCTCCATGCGGCCGCGGCACCGCCTTGCCGAGCTCGCGGGCCGGGCACCGCTGAGGTTTCCAGTTCGACGGGCCGGCCAGGGGTGCCGGGTGGCCTCTGAGATGAGTTCATGGTCTGTCCACGCTCGGTCAGTCACCTCCGCTCAGCGCTGCCTGCAGGGAGCTGGGCAGTGCCGTGGTTTAGGGCCAGGGAAAGCTCTGGTGGGCTCTAGGCACGGTCTGCGCTTCGTTTGGCCACCAACCTGTGAGGGTGGGGAGTCACAAAAGCTTCAGGGTTGGAAAAGTGCGCTAAGATCACCCAGTTCCAACCCCAGTCCACGTGTCCCTCAGTGCCACATCCCCACGGTTCTCGAGCACCTCTAGAAGGGTGACCACACCACCTCTGTGCCACTGCGTCACAGCTCTTTCGGAGAAGACCTTTTTCCTAACGTCCAACCTGAACCTCCCCCCTGCAACTTGAGGCCATTCTCTCACCCTATCGCTGTTACTGGGAGCAGAGGCTGACCCCCGCCTCAGCACAACCTCCTGCCATGCAGTTGCAGAGAGCAGTAAGGTTTCCCTAAGCCTCCTCTTCTCCAGACTGAACCATCCCAGCTCCCCCAGCTGTTGCCTGTAAGATTTGTGTCCAGGCCCTTCACAGCTTCATGGTCCTTCTCTGGACGCGCAGAAGGGTGAGCCCAGTGCCATGCCAAAACATCTTCAAGGCCCCTCATTTCTTTTTTCAGTCTAGCATCGATTGCAAAGAATTTCCCCTTTCTTAATTTTGTTGTAGAAAGGGAAATTACACTTCAGCAGGATATTTGATCGCTGCCTGCCAGATGGTTTCACATCCCTACAGGCCCTGGTGATGGCTGGAGGACCTGGAATGCGGATGAGATTTTGTGAGCTGCGAGGAACAGAAAGCGCTGCACCCGCAGCAGCTTCACTCCCCATGTGTGCAGGCCTGGGTGATGGGCTCAGAAAGGAGATACTGCCAGTGTCCTTTGGTTTCCTCATTGTTAGGGAAGTGGGAACAGGCACTGTCATGCATCTGCTCTAGGTGTTCATAGAATCATTGGAAGGAACCCTTCGAGGCTATCTGGTTCAACTCCCTTGCGCTGAACAGGGACACCTACAGCTGATCAGGTGCTCAGAGCCCTGTCCAGCCTGACCTTAGGTGTCTCTAGGGATGGGGCACCCACTGCCTCTCTGGGCAACCTGTGCCAGTGCCTCACCATCTTTATTATAAAAAAAATCTTTACTTATATCCAATCTAAATCTCCCTTCTTTTAGTTTGAAACCATTTCCTCTTGTCCAATCACAACAGACCCTGCTAAAGAGTCTGTCTCCTTTTTTACAGTCCCTCTTTAGACACTGAAAAGGAGGCCAGCTGAAGTCCAGCTATGAATGCTAAATCATCTCTCTTGCTTTCATGGAAGAGGAAGTGATACAGTTTCTGGCAGATGTTAACATCTGTGTGTGTAGTTAAAGCCACCAAGTTGGCTGGAGAACCCATTACCAGAAGAAGGCTGGTTCATTCTGCCAGTGTCATAAGGCCTTGGTGATACAGAGCATTTATCTCAGAATGTTGCTGCTGCGAGCACAGGCCCAGTGCTACCTTGGCTCCCAAATGTAGTACAGTCAGCACAGCTAAAGAACACCCTTCTAGAATGAATCAGTGAAAAACTACTGTTAAAAGTTTCAAATCAAATGGTGCTTGAGTCAAAATAATAGTTGCCCCAGACTATAAAGGTCTGGAAATCTGTTAGGGCTACTTGTGAATTTGCTGACTTGGCAGCGTAACCCAAAACACTCATTTCTGTCATCAAAGTTGATTCAGATCATTTATTTTATGAAAACTGGTCTGTTGCTTTTATAAACTACCATATCATACTTGAGCACTACAGCAAATGTAGTATTGACATTCTTGGTCTTCACTTCTAACCCATGTATTATTTAGAATTTCCAGTGGCTCTCTAACAGCTTTCATGAGTTACCTTAACGAGGTAGATCTTCCCCCCTTCTCCCATCCTACATTTTTTTCTGAGACAGATGAGGCCCACCATAAGATTTGAAAATACATATTTTAATTTTTTTCCCAAAAATATTAGTGTAGCTACACTGTAAAAAATCAGAATAATTTGTACTTCTCTCTTTAAAAAATCTAGTTTTGAAAAGTCCAGCCAGGTGACTGCATTACAAAATTTCAAAAGGTCAGTGTAGATATGAGCAATTAAAAATAGAACAAAGAAACACATACCATTGCATTTACAGTAAGTGAGTGCACATTTTTAAACTGCTGGCTTCCACAAGTTGTTCTTCACATTAAGATTGCTTTGTCTGGATCAGTAACTTGTACCCACTTTTACACTGCAATTTGCATTTCCTTTTTCTCCTCAGAAATCCCCCCCTTTTGCTTATACAAATGTTGCAATAAAAATGCATTACAGTAGTATTTCATTTACAAAACAAATGAGATTAAAACTTGTTTCCTAACCCATTGGATTGTAATTCAGTAAGACAATGTCCTTTCATTGGAGGTGCAACAGAGATTCCAAGAGCTGTCTGGATGCAAAGGACTATCTCTCTCTCAAAGCAGTTGTGCCTGGAAAGGTTGGCTTACATTGCTGCACATTGCAGTGTTGATTCCTCTTCAGAAGCATCTTTTCTTTAGTTTTGACAATTAGGAGAGTGTGTTAGACATTGCATTAGTCAAAATAAATAGAAATAAATTAAAAACAAATTATGCAGGGAGGTTATTTTCTAGTTGATACTGCTTGGAGGAAAACTCAGCAATGAAGCTTGTGGCAGCAAGCAGGTCCATTTATTTCAGTAGTACTCTCTGAACAAGGAAAAAACAGCTGCAAATATGTCTGTAATTGTAGAGAAAGATAGTGGTGATCTTCTTTCAAACTTTGTTAGGAAACCGTTTTCCTGTAGGAAAGAACACGCACAGTTAGGGCCAGTTTAGGATGTGTAGGAGAAATGCATCACTTTGTGCCAGTATCAGAGTGACACTGCTACACCTTTGTGCATAGAGAGGCAGCTCTTCACAGCTCTACCTCCAGCAGATGAATAGGGCTTCAAAATGAGGAGCTGAAAATAGCTGCACCTTGCTGAATGTTTGTTTTATCTCCAAGTAAAGACTGTGCCCTGGCTATGTAAACAGAAATGAGTGTGAACTGCATCATCTGAGCCCACAGCTTAGAGGAAGATACAGGTACTCTGTTTCTGATGTAATAATATGCTTATAAATATCTTCCTTTAACATCCTTGTTCTGTTGCGATAAGCCACATATTATGACAGAATGCTGCCTGAAGTTAATACTTCTCCCAAATAAAAATAACACTATTTGCAAGGGATGCAGAGAGGAGCATTACAACAAATCTGATGCATCAAGGGTCATGGCTCACTACCACCTTTTTTAATGTTATCAGAGAAGGATAGAAACAAGCAAAATAAAGAGAAGCACTAGAAAACAAGTGAAGGAAAAAAAGAAATATCAAAGAGGAAATATAAGAGAAGTGAGACTGGAGAGGAGTGGAAAGAGAAAGTAGCATTTACAAATAGGTAGAAGAAAAAAAGTACCAGGGAAATAACTGCCTCTGATGTCACTGATACTCAGCTGCCCCCAAAGTGCAGTAGTGAAAGGTACTGTCAGGATGAAACTGTGCAAAGCAAAAGGGACCTTGCCTCTACTAGCAGAAGGGAATTTCAGCAACTTGATGAACTAATCCGCATATTGACAAATGCTTTTCTCTGCTTTGACTGTTGATGTATGCAAGTTCTAAGATTATCTCAATCCAAACAAATAGAAAAGATTGGACCCCATTGTGTTTACCTTTAAATTTGTTTAAGTAAACTGATTTGGAGGATTAAATAACAGCTTCATGAGATCCACAGCAAAAGTACTGACTTGACTGTGAGAATGAGACGTGTATTCTTTCCTTGCCTTGAACATCAGTGTTTTTAGACCAACTTGCTTCTATTGAAGCATAATTGCTGCTCTAACTATAGGATGCATTCACTTTTAAATTTAGTAATAGGAAGTGTGATGGAATGCCTTATTTAATGTGCTTTGAGCACAGGGTTGAAATAGATGGCTTCCTAACATCTCTCTCAGCCCGTATTATTGTACTATCATATGATTCAAGTCTTACTCTGGGGTTTTGGCTGTTAACAGAAAGTGCCTTTCTCAAAAGAAAGATGTCTTTTAACATTGTTCTATTTAAAGCAGAAGCAAAGTTTTCACTGTAAGCTTGAAGCAGACATTGCAGACATCATAAATTAAGTCACCAAATAAAACCCTGGATAAAATGGTTTTGTAAGTGTCTGTAACAAAAGTTTCCCTTAATTAAGACAAACCTTTGAATCTACTCTGTGGTGGAAAATGAGAAGAATTGTAACTTACCCAGCCACCGTTTGCATCTATCCATGCGGCTTTGTTATTTATGATGTACTCTGTGATGAAATAAGAAATCTGCTCCTTCTCCTCTCCAGTGAGCTGAACTCCATGCTCTTGAAGCTTCTTGGTGAGAAGACCTCCAAAAGTAAATATGGTCATAATTCGTCCCCAGTTAGTATTTCCATCAGCAAATTTTTCTTCCATGACTCCATTGAAAATTCTCTTGGCAACATCTACGGAGGTAATATCGATCCTGTCCAAGAAGGGTCTGAGAGCCTCCTCTGTCTGATCTTGGAGTGAGGATGCAATGTTTCGCAAGACATGAGCAACTCTGGTTTGGGCTGGTCCAAGATGTGATTCCTGAAGCACATATTGCAGATAATCTTGAGCTAAATAATAAACATAATAGAACTCAGCAGTTTCCATTTAGTACGAAGCTCAGAGAGCGGTGTGCTGCTCTTAATCAGGCTCAATAATGAGCAGCCACAGGACATGCACACAGCTTTGTATCTTCTGGTTTTGATGGAATTTTTTGGTTTTACCACAAAGTTCCTGTTCAAATGTAATGACTTAATGTTTGTGTAGGCTGTGAATATGTCATAGCGGAAATGAAAGACAAATGTCTGCTCCAGGGAGAAGACAGTTTTGTTGAGTGATTTATTATTTTCATAGGCAGTATGACTCTAAAACTGAAATCTGCCATCTTTTACCACATTCTTCAGCAGTATAAGTTTGCATTTCCTAGGGTCTTTTTTTTCTATGTAACACTAATAGAGATTCAGCTTTAAAAAATGTCTTGAAATGTGCATGCCATAGGAACATGCAGTCTGCTCTTAACCCCCAACATCCTGCACCCCAAATCTCTTCATTGCCAGTGGTTAAAGCTGCAGTCTGCAATGCAGACCCACTGCGTGTGGGTCAGTTCTGTCACAAATTTTGGAAGAATCTGGTAGAAGTTTGCAACATGGAGAAACGGATAAAGCTTTTCCATCAGGGAGCTTTATGTAACGACTGGCAGAGGAAGCTCAGCAGTGGTAAAAGTATGGAAAGCAAAAGGGGAAAACCAACTTTTTAGCATGATCTCCTTCTCCAAACTTTCTCACACTCTATGAGTGCTCTTCAAGGTCCTTCTTTGAAGATTTGAATGGGTGGCTTCAAAGATTTCTTTCCCCCACAGGGAATTTGGTGTGAAAAATATTTTGAGTATAAAAGACAATGCTAATGCAGTCAGTGTGTCAGAACATGAGGTAGAAAATACGAGGTGAAGCTGGTGATGTGTGATACCTGATTCTTTCTTGACAAATAACAAAATTAGTATGATACCTACAGTGGCAACTCTTCAATTCTATGTTTTGATCAAGCAGTTTTTTGAGGGGAAAAGAGGCAGAGGTGTAAAACCCTCTCTTTCTTGACAACCAGTTCTGACTTTGCTAAAGGGTGAAACTGTCGCAAGGGAGTTTCATCCCACTGCAAAGACTTCAGAGCAGCTGATCACACTGGAGCAAAGCCTATCTAGAGCTGTGATGCAAATGTGCTGTATTTATAGGTCTGATTCGTCCCCCCCAGATTGTGTATGCTGCTGCTCTGACTTCAGTTTTGCAGAAAACCATTGATTAGAAAAGCATACTTTCCACTTCCTTCTCAGGGTTTTTCTTCTGTATGTGGTGAACCTGGCTCAGACTGACACCGTAATTTTCCATGTGCAGCGAGGTTTGAAACCTCAAGCCATCATCATCAGTGTAGCCCAGACCTTTGGGCTTTCCTTTGGTTACAAGGAAAATATTTGACTCACTTTCTGTTGGAAGCAGAGCTGGCTGGTACCATGTTCACTGTGCTCAGAATGGGTTTGGGAGGGAGATAAGCTGGAAAAACTCACGTGTTGGATGCTACCCAGTGGCAGCATTGGGTTGGGGTGGGAAGCTAGCTGTCCCCTTCACACACACTGTCTTACCAACCAGAGCTCACTTTGAAGGTTCAGAGGTGTTCTCCATCCCACACCTCCAGCTGCTGCTTTGGCAGATTGGCTTTGCCTCTGTTATGCTCAGCGGTGTCAGCAAACTGCCAACATTTTTTGGGGAGGGTGTGGGGGGAATGCAAATAGAAGAAAAAAAAGGAAAAAAAAAAAAAAAAAGATGGTTCTTAACTCTTCCAATTCAACTAAACCTGGGCAAAAATTTCTGGGATGGGGTAGCATGGCTCTGCTCAGCTCCTCTCCTGTCAAGTGCTTGCTGCAAACAGGGCTGCAAGAAGTACTTGAGGAAAAATCATGAGAACCCTTCTTCAATATAGCACATTCTATGAGGTTGTAAATCACTCCTGACTCTCTCAGTAATCGATTAATGAAAAGCCTTATGTATTCATTCTGAATACAAGTAATCCTTGAACATGGGGACAGTGAACAGTACTTGAGGAGACAGGTTTTGTTTTTTCCACCACCTACAGCATCATAACACAGGCAGAGGCTGATATTTCTTCATTAGTGGAGCATTTAGGATTCTGAAAGGAGTGATCAGATAAGGCTATGAATATGTCACCACTATTGAAAGAAATCCATGTTAATACTTTAGCAATTTGGGTGCAAATGCTGCACTTCCAGCCCCTTGATCTCTTGCAGGGCTGCAAGGTAAAGCTCAGTGCTCAGCTTCCAGAAGAGGGATGGCAGCTCTAAGCAGACACCTTTAGCAGCAAGGTGTGACACTGGTGGCCAGAATTTGGGATGTGGCTGTTGAAGCTGCCCCAAGCCTGTTGACCTCCATGTCAGACACATTTTCTTTTCAATAATATGCTGTGCAGGGTGTGATTCCAAGTGCTGGGTGTTTAGTAGCTGTGACAGTTGCTATGTCTTAGTATGTGTATATATATGTGTATGTGTATGTGTGTATATGTATATATATGTATTTATAAGGTTAGACCAGAGCACATAGCCCTACCTTCCCAAGCTCTACTGTTCAGCTCTGAGCACTGTAAGAAGTCAGCTTTAGGTCTCTTACCTGCATCGTAGTGGGTCTGATTCTCATTATCTATGCTAGGCAGTGCCTTCCTTTATCCTACCAGATTTTATTCACGTTTTGTACTTATAAGCAAATACCTTTAGCATAATGTGTCTCCATTCTTATTCCTACCTGCTCTATCTCCTCAGTAATGCATATTGTGTACTCTTGCTGTTCCCCTCTTTTCCTCTTGCCTCTATGTACTTTCTCTTTTATACATGATAAATGTTGACAATACCATTGAAATAAAAACCTGCCTGACTTGGAAGCTCAAATGCAAACCCTCTCCTTGCTAGCTGGCAAGCCAGGGACTTCAAATACTTTAATTTAAATCCATGCTCTGTGGATTTGACTCCACATTCTCACCTAACCTGAAAAGGCTTATTTTCCAGCACAGATGGGAAGTGAGTTGACAGATTCTCATAAAATTGACTGGTAAGAAATGATGGTATCTTATCTTGTTTCAAACAAAACTAAGCCAAAATGACACGAGCTCCTTGGAGCTGTTTGTGCTGCATCTGCCTTGCCAGAGCTGCTCCAGTTCCAGGTGAATTTGGGAGCTGTGAACTCTTCTAAGGCAGCCAGGCTTTGTCTGGAGGAACAGTCTGAGTTTTTGAGAAAGTTCTGACAGATTTTTTCTGGTTTTCTTCCCTTTCTGATGTCCAAATGTGTGTGTGTGTGGCATTGAGTTTCATTGCAAAAGAACTGCTCAGTTCGCTTTTAACATTCCAGCTGTCCCACACAGCCCTGATGTAAGGGAGGGTTTGGTCACTTCTGCTCGACTCCATTTTCCTACAGATGTGGATATGCAGTCTTTCCTTCCAGTTGCAGTTGGCTCTCGCTGAGGTCCCGGCTCGGTTTGCCCAGTGGAGTGCTGCCACCTAGTCGCAGCCGTCTTGGCTGCAGGCTCAGCTCCTCATCCCTCCTGGGTGCCAACACCAAGTCAGTGCTCTGGGATTCTGAGCAGCACAGAGCCACAGCACTGCAACGCTGAGACTCCTAAGGATCCTAGATCTCAAATTCTGTGGCAACTGAAACAGACACTTGGAGCCAGCTTTTGTGCTGTGTATCTCAGGAGGTGCTGACGGAGCACACAAGATGAGCACCAGGATGGAAAGGAGGGTTGCAGATATATTTGCATCTATTAGGCCAGCTGAGATATTCTAGGCCAGTTGGAAAGCAGGAGCAGTCCCCAGCATACTCTAACCTAGGAGCCTTCTGCTGAGCTGTAGGGCAGTGCAGAATAGCCCTTGTGTGCTGAGCAATACAGCACAAGCTCTCTCCCATTCCCCAAATACCACACAGCAATTTGGCTGTGTTATTCAGGGTCCAACCACTGCCCTGTGACTTCCTCTGGTAACTCAGCTCAGAACTTGGCTTCTTGTGGATCCAAACCTCTCTCATCATCATGAGTCAAGAGAGCAGCCAAGCACACTGCTCCACCATTCGTGTGCCACGTGTCATCGTGCCCATGTGCATGGACACATGTTTGCTCCAAGTTCTCACGAGCCTTTCCAAATGTTTGTCCGGGATTAGGATAATTTGAACAAGGAGTCATAGATTGTTGGCAACGAGCTATGGAAAAATAAGGCTACTTTACCTTCAAAAAAGTAAGGCTTACTTACCTACTTACCAGTCTTGGTTGAAGCTTAGCAAGACCTTGCAGATCCCAGTGGAAAACTTCAGGCTGAATCCAGCTTCACTGCTGAAAGTACTTGTTTCTAGAAGTGGAAAAAGGAAAAAAGAAAAAAAAAGAAAAAAGAAAAAAAAAGATCTGATTGTAAATATCCATGAAATAAGTTAAGGGCTCATAGCTCACCGTGATAACCAAAATTTCGTGTGATCTCCACTGCCATAAGGCAAGAGTGCTCTTGACTTTTGGCTCATTCCTTTATAGTGAGTCCAATGTCAACATCGGCAAGGTCCATTTGTATTTTGATCTGCAGTTTTCATTTTGATCTGTATCTCTGGATGTAGTGATATCAGGAGGGACAGGCATTCAACATCAGCTGCATCAGTGCTTTAAAGATACTCTAATTTGTGGTGACATTTAAAATGTGGTGGCACACATCTGAGACAGCTGTGGCCTCAGCCCTCCAGGAGTGTGCTTGCTTCCATGCTTCTCCCTCATTTAGATCAAGCCTGCATCTGCTCCTGATAATACCAGAAACCTTTGCACTGGCTGAAGGGTTGGTGATCCATAGATTAAATATGTTGCCTTTAGAAGATAGTGTATCTTTTAAATAAATCACTTTAGTCCCCTTTTCATGATATCTACTCATTACTGTATAGAAGAGAGTTGTAGCAGCACTGGTATTTCTATACCATAAATCACTCTTCAGGGAAGTTTGTAACTCACTGTTACTTTGTTTTACATGCAGGGTCCACTCTGAGAGTGCATTTATTTTTATTCCCCTTTCAAATTGTCTTGAATTATTTTAAATCATGTTTAAAAAATTCAACAGCGTGCAGATATTTTTGTCTGTTATAATCAATCTAGATCTGCTTTGAATAGGAATTATGTTTAGGACATGAATGTGTAGCATGAATTTAGCAAGTTTCATATGCTCAAAATAAAGATTTATGTTAAAACACATTTCTGAACCCTAATTCAGTAATTTTGCCACAATTTTTTTTATTTACCTCCTCAATTGTGTATTTGCATGAAATTGTTGTGGTGCTTAGAGACTGGCCTTTATCACATTTCTGGATTTTTTAAGTCCTTCACCTAACATAGCAGGAAGGCTCAGACTACATTGCAGTTTGGTAAGACTTTCAAAGAGTCTAAAATTTGGTATTAAATTAATTCTGTCTGCTTACAACCTAAGATATGGAACTGTTTGTTTAGAATAAAATGTCCTGCATTAGCCCAGTGCCAGGAAGAACTCGGAAATCTAATGTCCCTTTGTGTCAGTATATCAAGCCCTTGGTTCATCCAGGGAGTGTAGCACAGAAGCTGGAAGTGTGTTAGTAATGATGCTGATAATGGAGTCTGCTCACACCCCCAAATGATGGGGTCTTTCAGAAAGATGAGCTCTTCTGCACACTTTCAGTTAATCTCAATGCAAAGTATTTGCTGTTTGTGCTGAATGTTCTGGACGGTAAAGCAATACCTGAGTGCCCCAGCTGGAAGCATGATTGCCTTGTGCTGACTGTTTGACCCCTGAAACTCAAGAGGAGTCTCCTGCCTCAGCTCATGAGTGCTGGGAGAAGCGCTGAGCCTGCTCAAAGCACCAGGCTGGCTTCCCAAAGAAACAGATGCAGGACTGTGGTCATCCTTTGTTGCAATCACATTTAATCAGTGAGGCATTTCAATGGCTATCAGTAGCACGAGCAACTAAACTCTGCACCAGCAGTTCAGCATACGTCATTTGGAGTTTTCACAATAAAACCCAGAACACCCGTTCGTCCTTAGTAGACTTGTCTTTGTGTCAATTTGGGACCAGATTCTTGGCATGCCAGGGAATTACGCATCGTAATGACTTAATCAAGGGCTTTCATAGTTTATTCTAGAGCAGAGAAACCTTTTAAAACCCAACACAGATGGAAGCTTGGACCCAGCAGCGAGTGCTTTGCTCGTGAAATCAGAGGAGCACTGCGCAGACTGACCCCCTTGTGCCTCAGCTCTATTGATTTCAGTAACTTCATCTGTGCAGAGACGTGAATCTACCTACGGGAAGCTAAATGAAGCCTAAAGTTATTAATTTCCAAGGGAAAGGAACTTTATTTAAAAGATCTCTTCCTTTTTTTTTTTTTTTTTTTTTTTTTAATTATTCCTGATTTTGAAATATGACATCACAGCAGACTAATGATACAAAGGAGTGACAGTAAATAAAACAGGCAGTTTCACATGGTTTACTGCAGCAAGGCCAGAGAGAATGGGACTGGCTGAGTTAGACAAGGTTGTTAATTGCTCTTTGTGCTGGATAACTGTTAATCTCTCAATGAGCAATGCGTATCCAGTGGCCAGTGCTCAAGCTATGTAAATGGTAGCAGCATCCTTGCTTATCCTTTCCCCTTAATCTCCTGGAGGCTTGACAATAAACAGTCAGTCCCAATCTATTTTGCAACTTTGAACTCAGATCCAAAAAGCCCCCATCAGAAGTAATTAGTTTGCTTTACATTCATCCTTTATATTCTTGAGTTAATAAATGGCTCTTGCAACTCAAAGGGGAGTTCATTTTTCTGGCTGCCTATGAGGGACTGAGAAACTGTTGTCTCTGGTCAGCACAGCTCAGTTGTTAGCTGAATGCCTTGGCAGGGACCAGCGATCTCCACAAAAGGTAGCAAGCCACAAAACGTACAGCCTTTATACTCTGTAGAAAAGCTGGTGTTTGTATGGTCTAGCAGAGCCCTTTAGCTCTTTTAGTTTCCCCATCTGTGAGAGGCTTTCTCCAAAAGATTTGTTGATTCAGCAAATATTTTCAACTTTTGCTACAGCTTTGACCTTGAGAGAGCCACTAGCCTCTCTGTGAGTCACTTCCCTACTTCTAACATAGAGGAAATTAGAGAATTGCAGTCAGGTGGCTGCCTTTTGCCTGTATTTAGCAGCCTTTCCAGGAAGGTGGGTTGGGGTTTGTTGGCAGTGAGTTTGTAGGCATGTATCCAGCAGAGCTGTAGCAGGTAAGAGCTGACTCAGAGGTGTATCATTCTAGTTCTTTGCTTGCTGTGTGTGAATCAGGGCCCTATTTATTTATTTTTCTTTCTATTCCTTTTCTGAAGTCAGTGATGCTGTTTAATTGTTTCTCACTGGGATCCTGATCTCTGCTAACTAAGCTCATGCTATTTTTAATAGCATAGCCTAATGTTGTATGCTGTAGGGTGAGGTGTTGGTTTGGGTATCTGTTATAGCTGTTTGTTTATTGGATCCCATTTTTCTCCTTTGTGGCACTGTAGATAGCTGATGAATCTTCCCTAAAGCTGCCAGAGCTGCAGAACTTGTAATTCTCCAGACATGTTTTGAGGAAGTTACCAAAGTCTGAGTACTGGTTATGCAATCTGAAGGATGGTTTGATCCAGTCTATCTCTTTGAATTACTTCTCTTTCACAGTAAGCTTTGCTAGCTGTAAGAATCCTGTTAAACTGCTACTGGTGTCTGAGTCAATTCATTTTCCTATGTGTTTATCTTTGATGTGAGGTCCTTGCTCCTGAAAGCACTCTTCCTTTTTAACTGTTGTATAGAAGCTACTCTTACATAACTTGAAAATTGGTATAGAACAACTTATTTTTCAGTCTGTCCTCTGTTATTTGCTAATCACTTCTTCCAGAGAGTCAGTTTGAGTGGGTTCCTATTCAGTCATGGGAGGATTCTTTACAGTGCTTAGTATACTAAATTAACTTGCGTGGTTCTCCTAAGTAGTTTAAAATGGTAGATTTCATAAAAGGGTGAAATCTCATTTTTAAGTGAAGAAATAGTTCTGTCAGTATGTAATGTTTTGCAAATGGAAAATTGGAAGTAATTGCAATAGCGATAAACCACAGTTATAGTTAATTAACTTGTAATCTAATAGAAGCTAATCTCTCTTAGATGGTAAAAGCACAACATGCTTGCATGATGTAGCCCAGTTTTCTGTTACTGGCATCCAGCTGGATGCTCAACAAAGAAAATACTGGGTTTTATTGTATTGCCTTGCCAAGCAAGGCTGTCTGCATTAACTGTGGCCTCTGGTAAAATCAGCAGGAGTTCTAGGTACATTGGGGGTCTCTAGCTATTATATCTCTTTGAGAAACTGATGTTTTCATCCTAAAACATCCACTCAAATGTTTTCTTCTGTTCTGCAGATTCAAGGCCTGTCCTTGCAGCCTCTTGTACATGTGTTTTACTGTCAGTATGTCCTCCTGGGAGAAGGGAGGCAGGACCTCTAAAGGTGCCCTCTCCATCCCAAAAAGCTGTGAATGCTTCTATCATCTTCTGAGGAAACAGCAGGACAACAAAGTCTGAAATAGGGCTTAGGTTCAGCAGACCTCTTCCCTGACTTCTGGTAACGCTAACAAGATAGGAGTGCTGAGGCAAATGTTTACAACCCCAGTAATACACTGCAAATGGTGTTCTGCTGTGACAAGTGACTCAGTAAAAATGTCACTTCCAAGCCGCAGGATTATTGGCTCTCAGTGAGGCCAGACCAAATGCGCTCAGTTTACAAGCAAAAATACAAGATTTATTTATTAGCCACCAGCCATAAAAAGGGGTTGTACTCCCACTCTGCTGCCCTATACCATGTGTTGTCATCTCTCTGAAGTAGTGCTGCAGTTATGGCTTGGTCGTGTTTTGCTTCTACTTTGCATTTACATCAACCGTGTTGCAACTGGGTGTGAATAAAGTCCAGATAGATTCCTTCTGATAAGTATTTATTTTTAAAAGTGTATACTTGAAACAGACTGTCTAGTCTGCCCTATTTGCTAATACAAACCACAGAATTTCAATTAGTGCCTCCTTATGTATAGCTCATAATTTCCAGCTAAGACAGCTCTGCTAGCTAGATGAATCCCCCACAGCTTTACAATTTCATTCCTTTTAATGGTTTCACAGAGCTCTAACAATGCAGAATGGGGGCTCTGATTCATGCCTGCTGATGCCTTGTAAGAACTACTGTGGTTCCTATTCTCTCCCTCCTCCCTCTTCTTCCATTCTGTCCCTACTGTGGAGACAGCTCAACTTCTTGGGAAGCAGAATCTGAGCTGTTCCAGCTTGATAGATCAAGGTGGACAACATCAGTTCAAACTCTCCTTGATATCCTGAATATAGCTAATACTTGCATGTGATTTTTTTGGAGCTGTCTGAATGGTGGTGCAGTGGGATTAGAGGCAGGAATGTTGTAATCCATCTTCACACCTTGAAATACCTGTTTACTACTCATTGAAAGCTTGTCCTCTGCTGCTGATGCCAGGGTATGTTTTGCAGCAGGTTCAGTTGTTAAACAACCAAAATGATAAACAAGAAGTTCACTGTTAAAGCTCAGCACCTGCAGTGGTGTTGTCTGTCTATGTTCCTGCCCTGTGTGTGTTAGGATGTGGTGCCAAGGTGTCTGTAATAGTTGACACAGGCTAATGCTGAGGTCTCTTCAATCCCCACCCTTCAATGAAGTTTGGGATTTTGGTGCCTTCTGATGTATTTAAACTAGGAAGGATGCTGAGTCAGTGCAGGCTGACTTGTTATTGTGGGGGAACTATTGCAGCAGTCACTGTTGCCTTTTAAGGAATTTGTACAAATTTATTTTGAGGAGAGCAGTTGGGTTATCAGCTTACAAAGGAATGATCAATACCAATCAGTTCCAGTTACTATGTTGCTTTTAATTTGGCACACTCATTTTCCGTCATACAGCATCACAGGGTTTCTTCTGGCTAGAGGAAGAAAGGGAGTATTGACTCTTGGCTGATTAAAATCTGTAAAGCTTTACCTTCACTTTGTCTACAGCATCTCTGTATAGACAAAACAAACTACTGAGAAGATTATTAAGGCAGTACTGTGCAGGGAGATCTTAGTGCAGAGGTTTAGCTGTGCATGTCTGGCCATATTAATGGAAATCCCACTGCTAAAATCCCTGTACACACTGCTAAATAATTTGCCTAATGATTTTGGTTAAGCACGGATAACAAGCACCATCTGAAATAGCATTTGACACAATGGGAACCAGAGGGAAGATTCAGTAATGTGGATGCCTTGTTCCCAGGGCTGTGAGCAAGGGGAGGAGACTGGCATGAAAATAGAGATGTCCTGGGATGTGAATGCTCGCTGTGACGGATACTTGAGTATCAAGGATGTCTGGTCAGTGATCTTCCCTTGTACTGCAGTTCCACTCATACTGGGCTGGGTTATAGGTGGCATGATGTGGTCAGTCTGTCAAGAACTATCTGCTCGTAACTAAATATAGGAATATAGTAAATGAAGAAAATGACAAAATAGGTGAATTTCTCACCTTCCCCATGTTTTACTCTGATCTTCCCATCTTTCAATTATGTGTCACAGCCATTTCTGAAGCAGAAGATAGAGCAGACTGAGGGAATGCGCTGATGATGCATCTCTAAGTCCAGTAGATAGCTATAGATCCTCCTACCACATTTAGGAAGGATTCATTGTGCATTAAGTAGTCTGCTATATCTGCACTACAACTCAGACATCACAAAGTGCCTACGGCTCTCTGGCTGGAGGCTGCCTGTCACACACCTTCCCACGCATTATCACGTGCGTGGACTGCAGTGAGTAAAGCTGTTGTGCCGAAGTTCTCCTAAGCCAAAGAGAGCTGGGCTTCACAAGTTGCCAGACAGCTTAGGGAACTTTCTACAGAAAACTGTGTGATGTTAGAAATGAAGTTTTCACTCCCTAAGTCACAACCCTGTCCCGGAGTTCAGTTGGGAATGGTGTGATGGCGGGGCGCCTCATGCTGGTGGAACAGCCATCGCTCTCAAGTGATGACACTTGGCCCACAAACACTGTGGGACATACTTCTACAAGGAGCAGCGTATCACGTCTTCATCAAACTCCAACTCAAGCAATTAACTTGCAATATAGTTCTTTGCTTCATTACCTTCTACGTTCATGTAACGCTGCAGGATTGTCACCTTTCCTCCAGCTTAGCAGCAGCTATCTTTTACCAAAGAGCCTCCACAGCACCATGGTTCTCTTCAGGATAAATGATGTAATATAAGCGTGGAGGATTACTTAAAAACCCATTGTTCCTGGCATATTAGCCATAGTAATGGC